TCGTTTTTTCTTTCATGTGGGATACTTTCTGCAAATTGCTGGTGGTCTTGGGCTTTGGGATTTGGGGTGCGGTGGGGTGGGGTGGGGCAGGGTAGGGCAAGGATTTGACTGGAAGGCCTCATTCTCCACCATTTCACTGGGAGACCATGAAAACTCAATCGTTAGAGGATTTCTCTTTGGAGCTAGTAAATTTTTTTCCATTGAAGAATCCTCTGATTTTCTACCTGGGAGACATATCTCTGATAATCCCTTTCTGGGAGTGGGGTAAGGTAAGGAGTCTGGCAGAGGGCCTTACTCTTGACATGTGGATTTACATTTAACCCCCCTATTTTCAACCAGACAGCTGCCCCCTACTGTTGCTAGAATACCTGAATTTGGGGGTGTTCTGGTTCAATTACTGTACAGAAAAAAATCTCAAGTCTCTTGCAGGAACTAAGTTCCTGACTATGTGGGATTGGGAAGGGATTTAGAGTTGTAGTTTCTCCTTATATCTCTTTTAGCCAGTTCCCTTGAGTTTAACCCATGCCTCAAACCCACTTCCTGAAGAACAAGCTGCTCCAGGTTTCCCACTGCTCTGGGCTCTCTGGGGAGAATCTGCTCACTCCTCACCCTCAGCTCCCTCTCCAGGCCCTTCCACAGTAGTTTTCTCTACTTGACTAATTCAGTTACCACCCCTCCAGCCACTGTCAATCATCCAAAAATTACTGAACTCTCTTGTCCACTGATGTTCACACATCCATTCTCTGTATTCTCATAGGTCTGTACTGTTAAAAATTTTTTGTACAGTCTGTGGAGGGAGAGGAGATAAAGGCACACCATCACTTTGTTATCTCTAGCCAGAAATCCATACCTACCTACAAAAAAAAGTTTCCAGCTTTGCGCAGTACATTAAAGCAAACAGTCATGATCCTACCCCTCAGAAATAATCAACTGATATGTTTTGGTCTATGATACAACCATCCACTTAAAAAAAATAAACTTTTACTTTAGAATTGTTTTTGATTTACAGAAAAATCACATTAGTGCTATAGAGTTCCCATATATTCCACACCCAGTTTCTCCTGTTATTAACATCTTACATTAGTATGGCACATTTATCACAATTAAGGTGCCAGTATTGGTACATCATCATTAACCAAATGCAAGCTTTATTCAGATTTCCTTAGTTTTTCCCTCGCGTCCTTTTTCTGTTGCAGGACCACATCTGGGGTACTCTGCTCTTTACTTGCCAAGTCTCCTCAGGCTCCTCTTGGCTGTGACAGTTTCTCAGACTTTCCTGTTTTTGATGATTGTAACAGTTTGGAGGTGTGCTGGTCAGATATTTTATAGAATGCTCCTCAACTGGGATTTATTTAATGTTTTCCTTATAATTACACTTGGGTTGTGTCATTCACAGAGGTGAGGTGCCATTCTCATCACTTCGTATCAAGGGTACACACTGTCCACATGACTTACTACTGTTGATGTTGGCTTTAATCACTGGCTAAGGTAGTATTTGACAGGTTTCTGCATTGTAAAGTTACTTACCCCCTCTTCCTTTCCAAACCTTACTCTTTTCAAGCAAGTCACTATGGGGAGCTCACACTGAAGGAGTGGGGAGTTGTGCTACATAACTACGTAAGTTACTTGGAATTCTTTTGCATGGGAGATTTATATTCATTCTCCCTCATTTTTCTGTTTATCTAGTTATTCGTATCAGTATGGCCGTGGATATTTATGTTATACTTTGGGGTCATTAGAATACTCCTTTATTCTGTTGCTTAAATTGTTCCAGCTTTGGCCACTGGGAGCTCTTTCAGTTGGTTCCTGTGTCCTTTTGTGTATCTGCTGCCCCCCTCCACTGCCCCCACCCATCATCATGGATGGAGTTTTTAAGCATCGTCTTACTTCTGGGCACTATTAGATACTCCTGGATCATCCTGTGTATTTCCTGCCCCACTCCTAGTATCAACCATTTCTCCAAGGTGACCTAGTCCTTTTTTTGGGGAATGGTATTAGGAACCAAGATCTGGGTGCTGGGCATGCTTGTTGCTACTGGGATGTCATTGCTTCTAGGTTTTCTCAGCTGCCACACAAAGAAATAGGTATGTGTATACTAACCTGTGTAAGAACACATATCTAAAAATATTTCCATATGTATCTATATTAAGTTAAGCATAAGTTCCTACTAATGTCTTCAACTCTAATTCATTAACACATGTATTATTCTAGCCTCCTAGATGTTACAGACAAAGGGTTGTTTGTCCATAACATATACTCCAATAATAAGAAATCTGGCTCCTATTATTTGCCATCCATTTACTTATTCAATTCCAGTATACATGTATTATCATCCACACGCTTTTTAAAATAGGAATACATTTTAACTGCTCTCAACTACTTTTTCAAGTGTCCTAGATTCCATAAAGGTCTTTATGTCACTCTATCCATAAAGTCCCAACCTTCAGTTTGCTAAACTAAAACGGCAATTCTTACATCGACATCCTCCCCAAGCTTTGGGTCACCTTGGTTGTTTTTCTCTGGCCTCTCTCCAGTTGAAATGTCCTTCTGGAGTTCCACTGACAACAAATGCATCAATCCCAGGCACTCCCTGAGTGACAGACTCTTGTTCTACCAAAATCTATGCCCTCAATTGTTGACCAGACAGTGTAAAAGGCAAGGCTTGCATTTCCTGGGAGAGAGGAATGTGTTCACATTTTTCCTCACTGAAGACCAAGTTATCAGAAGCCACTTTGGCTGCAATGAGAGATAGAAGTACCCCTTAAATGGTGCGTTCCCATGTCACCACACACCACATTGCCCAAGGGGACACTGCTATACATAGTCTTGGTTTCTCATCTGACCCACCCACAGCCCTCATCTGACCCAGACATGATGGGACTTGGTGGGAAGAGGAGAAAGTAGAAAAGGAGATAAAGCAAGGGAAGAAGAGGCAGAAGGGCAAGGGGGAAAGGATGGTGATGATATTAGTAATAATGTTTACAATTAGTGATTTTACTAATTACTTACATTTACAAAGAACTTCCACATGCATGGTCTCATTTATTCATTAGTTATAACAACTAAAAAAAAAAGTATATTTAGTTTATTTAAACTGTGTTGTAGGAAATTGGCTTTTTGTGGATTCTAGACTCAGAGATAGGCACATGACCCAAGCCGGGCCAGTGAGAGTTGGCCCTGAGACTGTTGATTGAATTATGGGAAAAGAAGCATGTTCTCTTTCTGTTGGGGCTATAAAATAAGTGTCGGTGGCTGTTCAACTTAGAGCTATTTGTTTGTTTGTTAATTTTTTTGTTACATGCATAGAGGAAGATCGGAAGGAAGTATACCAAAATGTTAACATCAACTAATTTTGGGTGGTAGAATAATTGGTGATATTTACAGTTTTTACACATTTACACTATCTTTTCTATAAAGCAGTTATTACATTAACAGATTTTCCTGTTAAAATTATTGCTTTAAATTATTTTACAGTATCTTTGTTATAAAGTAATTGATATAGCAATATATTTATAATATATTTAGAATCTATCCTTATATAAATAATAGATCATTGTAATTTTTATACTAATATAAGGCAGAAGTGCTTTAGCTCCCAAATGCCATTTATTCCCTCTTTTGGTTTCTGCCTCCCTCAGTGCCCTGTGCCTAGCAGGACATGCAGCCTTGATCCCAGGATGATCCAGTCTCCTAAAACAACTTTTTCAAAATAGAGAATTTGACCTTTTCAAACTGGAGAGTATCTAGGAAAAATAAATTTTTCAGAGTAAAACACTGAGGAACTTAGAGGTTCTACTGGTTTTGTCCTTGTGTCACCAGATCTTAGGGCTCTCCCAGAACAGAGTGGGAGCAGGGTGAGGTTCTGTCCTCCTGGAGGCGCTCTTACTCCAGATGTGCTGTGGCCGGCGGACCTAGTGCTGGATGGCCCAGCACTGCCTGACTCGGTAGTCTTTTCCAGAAGAGCTCAGTGGGTTTGGACTGGCTGTGTTGCTCTTGGTAGCCCTGCCTGAGAGACGAACAGCTCACAACCTCCAGCTGAAGAGGAGCAGCCCCAGCCCAGCCCAGCCCAACCCTTTTCTGGGCTCCCCACTCTAGTGACTGAGGACTCCTGGGAATTCTGCACAGACCGGGTGCCCTCCCTGCCAGTCACCAGCTCAATCCTGCTCTGTCCCTCAGCGGACCCAGCCCCCTCCGTCCACTCCCCAAGGCTCAGCTAAGTCCAGGCAATAGCATTTAATAAAATCTGCCTAAACTCTGAAGAGATGCCCTTTGTTCCCAAAGAAAACCACCCTTTCCCATTATAACGCAGGGCCTGTAGCTTCACATTGTTCTGAACTACTTTGTCTCTTTTCCAGAATAGGTTTGAGTTTTATCCTTGCATCACTGAAAGACCTTTGAAAATATTTTCCTAAAAACAAAACAGATTGTTCCCACAAGAGCAATTTGCCTCCAACTCCACAGGAGATAGAGGAACTGGGCTAAAAACCCAAACCTGTGCAGTTTAAAGTAGCATATGGTCCCCTTGTCTCGCCATTGAAGTTTTCAAAAATAGCGGAGCTCCCTTTCTGCCAGGCCCCACACACCTATTTGGAAATAACAGAGTCTGGAAGAGGGGCAGCGACTCAGCTGCAGGGGACTTTGGGGAGACACTCGAGAGGAGGGAGGTGGACACAGAAATGACCAGATTCCCCTTGACTGGGAGTTTACCTCTGGGACTCAGATGTGGGGAGGGAGACGGACAGGCGTCAGCCCCCTGTAGGCGGGGCAGTTCACCTCCACTCAGAGTGTTCATCATTTCAGCTTAGAGGAGGTACCTGGAACGATGACCTCTCCTCTCTACAGGGCCCCGGGCCCTACGGGCCCCACCCACCCCAGGCCCCACCCACCCCAAACGCCCGCCTCCGTGAGGTCAAGGGGGGAAGGGTGCTCTCCCAGGGGAGGTTTCCACAGCCTCTTCCTGAATTACATCAGCGGAGTGTTCATTCTCCCACCTCCACAGGCGTCCACACCCTCCTCCCCCTCCCAAAGCTTCTTAGTTTAAGATAACAGCCTTTTGTTCTCCCCATGACTCCCCACTCCTGGGGAGAGGGAATGAGGAAACCTGTAGGGAAGTGCTGCCTATCTGAAGGTGAGAGGTAAGAGGCTGGTCTGCGCTCCAGTGCCTTCCAGGGAAGCAAGTTCCCAAAGGCCCCCGCCCGATTCAGGAGGCATTTCTGGGCTTGGCTTCCTGGCAGGGCAGGCTCAAAGGCACTTGGGGATATGGGGGCAGAGGAGGGGTGCTTTATAAATCTTGGCTCAAAAATCTCCATCTTGGGGATTCATTAGGGATTTTTCTTTTTTCGAGGAATCCTCCAGCGGGGAGATGGGTGTCTTCCAGTGGCTTCCCACCAGACTGACGATCAGGTCCAAACCTAGCATGGCTTCCAAGATTCTGCAGAATCTTGCCTCACCCTTTGCCAATCCCTTTTGCCATCTCTTCCAAGACCCGCTGAGCTCTAGCTACATAGGACTACTACTATACCTTCTCCAGAACATGTTATGTGTTTCCAAGCCTCCGTGACTATCATGCATATGCTGTTTTCTCTGCCTGGAGTGTCCCTGGCACTTCTCTTCTTAAAGAACTCCTATTCATCCTTCAGGACCCTACGGAAAAGTCAGATGCCTCTTCAAAGACTTGCTTGACTCTCCTGACAAGGTTGGTTGCTCTGTACTTCAAGGTATAGGGTTCTTTCCCTGGCTCATCACCCAGTAGGATAATTATTAGGATTTGCATGTTTATCTTCCTTCTAGTTGTTCCTCCAGGGCAGAGACTGTACTACTCACCTTTGTAAACCTGGTGCCAGGCCCTAATAATTCCTCAGGCAATATTTGTGTCAGAATGAACACCATTTCTGCCAGATCTGTGGCATCTTTTGAGTATTATTAAGAGAATGCTTCTGTTATCATGGACATTCCCTGGCCCACAGTGCCATCTTTCCAGACAAGGGTCATATATTTGTGAATCTGTGTATTCACACAGCATCATGACAGCACTCCTCAGGTAATTTTACATCTAGTTTATTTCTTTTATCCATTAACCCTGTGGGTGGTTATTTTAGTTGCTATCATAAGATGCAGAGACTGAAATACCAAGAGAATAAGCAACACTATTTTCAAGGTTACAGTACACGTGTGGCAAAGCTGGGCCTTGAACCCAGGTATTTTGGCTGCAAGATCCACAAGCTTTCTGCCTGCACCAGAGATTCTCAATAAGTGGTCGCTGAGTCAGCAGATCTGCATCACCTGGGAACCTGTGAGAAATGCAAATTACTGGGCCCTACCCAAGACAGATGGAATCAGAAATCTGTGCTTTACCCAGCCCTGCAGCTGATTCTGTTGCAGGCTTGTGAGTGCTGTAGCCTGCACCATGACTGCGCCGCAGGCTGCCTGGAGCCGGAGGAGGGCGCTCCAAGGCAAACTTTCAGTCCCAGACAGAACTGGAGGATGGGAAGGGGTAGCAGGCAGGGTAGAAGGGAAGGACATGCTTGGACCAGAAGATAGGAGACAGAGTTCTAGTCCCACCAGTTCTGCAGTTTATGATTGATTTTGAGCACCTCTCTGGGTCTCAGTTTTCTCATCTGTAAAATGAGGATATTGGCTAAATGATCTCATCCCTAATTTCTGTTCACATTCTATTATTCAGCTCTCTTTTGGAATAATATGTTCTCTATGCCAGGAGCTGGTTGAAGGCAGGGTATGAGTGCCCATTTTTAATGGATTTTTCCCATATTTGGAAATTAATTGCCCCAGATTCGAAATCCTTGGACCAGCTGTCCTCTGTCTTCTTCCTCAGGGGCAGAAAGTGAGAACAAACATTTAGGTTTACTCATGAAATTTTGTTAGGCAAAAAATAGAAAACCATCTGACGGTACTGGTTTGAACCCACTCAGTGGGCAGGGGCTCCTCCACGTGGGCCTCTCCTCTGATCCCTCTCCTGTCACCTGCTTCCCAGCTGTGACTCTGCCACACTCTCTTGCTCACAGGACCACCTCCCTGTCCTTCCTGTGAGCTCATGTCCTTCCCCTGCTCCTCTCCATGGGGTGGCCCCAACATCCTACTGAGGAGGGATGTGTTAAGGTGACTTACCAGGTGCACCAGGGGCTCCGTGGCCTGATGGGGGAGATACAGATACACTGAAGCCCTATCCTACTGGTTTCCTGTGTACCTGAGGGCCATCCCATAATGAGTGGGCTGTGTCCATACGGTATCTAGTGGGGCCCAGAAATTAGGTGGCTGCTGGTAAACCTGTCTACAGCAGGCTAAAAAGAAGAAAGAATGCTTCTCATCCCTTTCAGATAATTATGAAAATTCAGGACAACTAATTGCATTGTAAAAGTAGAATCCTGAATGAGAAAGGGGTAGAAGACTCATAATTAGGAACTGGGTGTCAGCAAGAGCACAGGGCTAAGCTCTCAAGTCTGGAGGGGAGATGAGAATGTGGGAGGTTTTAGCAGTCAGTCAAATAATATGTCACTTTCAGCAAAGCCACATGTGCCAGATAAACAGCCCAAGTGTCTGTCAAATCAGTATCATGCCTAGAGAGAGACTTTCAGCATGAGGTTTCCAGAGTTCAGGAAAAGCCTAACATGAGGATGTCAGGTGTTGCTGGCAGCCCTTGGGTTAAAAGCCAAAGAAGATGTTTATTAAACAAGGGCCCAGGAAGAGCAGGAGCCAGTGTTGACTCTTCATCAGCTGAAGCTCACTCAGGCTGCGCTTCTCAGCTTCAAAAGACCCAGGGAAGCTGGCTGCTTCCTAGGCTGAGCATAAGTGGAATTACACGGTAATAAAGAATATGTATGTACTCCAAACTCTTCAAGTTGAACACATGAAATATTTTCAGCTTTTTATATGTCAATCATACCTCAATAAGGTGATTTTTTTAAAGTGTGTACAGTTATAGCTTCTAATACATCCTTTAAATCAACATGTATTGCCAGTCATTATTGATCTCAACCCAGGCCCCTGGAGTCCCCTGGAGTTAACACGTCCTGCTGATGGCTTCTCACTTTGTGCTTTGCTCATTTGGAGCCCCCAGAGTGGGCCTGCTAGTTGATTGCAACCTGGAACTTGCCAGCCTGCCTGGGTGGATTTCCCGGGAACCAGGGGCCTTGAAGGTAGGGGGAGACCCAGGCATAGGTTAGGCTTCCTGGGACTGCTCCAGAATGTGTCTCTCTCCTCCCCCACAGTCAGCCCCTGTGCCAGCTCAGCCTGAAACTGGCCTGCTCTCCCGCAAGACTTGGATGGAGGGATTCTGCAGCAAGTGCTCAGCGCATATTGCAGCCTCCCCCTTAGAGTCTCCTTGGCGGCCTCCTCTTGCGCTCACGGGACTTCACAGACCACTGTACACTCATTCCCGGTGCTTCCTCCATCTAAGGACTGGCTGAGTCTGGACATTTTGGTCCTTCAGTGTTCTGGGGGTTGTGCAGGAGGGAGATGTGGGCTGTAGTCCAAACAAGCTGATGTTCTCTAGCTGTGGACCCTTCGGCATGTCATTTTACTTTTCTGGGCCTCAATTTTATCATCTGCAAAGGGGAATGAATGCTGCTTCTAGATGTCCTGTGAGCTTTCCCAGCTTTAACATTCTGAACTTCTGGAGCCTACCCTGACCAGAACAGAGGGTCCTGCCAATCACCCCACACATGCTCCAGAGGAGGTAGAAGTGAGTACATGCCGTGTCAGGACAGTGGGACAGGCTCTGGGCCAGACAAATATTTTCCGTTCATGAACTTAGATTTAGGGAGCACCTGTTGGGTGGGGCTTGGCTGGAAGAAATGAGGCAGCCATCCCCAGACTTCCCCCTGCCTGAGTGGTTGCCTCACAGGCTATTACTTAACCCTCCTTACCACTTCCCAGGGTGGGGAAGGGAAGGGCAGATGGTAGCAGCTGATGCAATAGACAGACGCAAGCCTGTGTTGTTCTTCGAAGACTAAGCAAAGGTCAGCTGGGCTGGGCCACCCTTGGCTGCAGCTGTAAGACTGTGCTCTGTTTCACCTTCCTTTTCTCTCCTTGGCTCTGTTTCCCTTTAACCTAAATGGGGTTTGCTGTGGTCATCCAGCCAATAGTTGACACTTTGTGTTAGGATTTACTTACATCCATTCACTTGTGGTGCTCTTTAGCCAGTGGCAAAAGGTGCCTGCTAGGCAGACACATGTGCATAAACACACACACACACCACACACACACACACACACACACACACACAGCGGGGACACCCAGAAAGGGGATAGTTCTGAGAATCTGCTCTCAGTGGACCGTATTTCCAACAAACTCTTCCACCTCCGGGAAATTTCCCCTGTATGACCAAAGCCTCAAAATATGCCCTGGGGAATGCCTTTTCTATTCAAGGCCCCTCAGTCAAATATAAGTGAGACTCTGGGCTACTTTCCTATCTCCCAGGGATCTGGATGCCTCCAATACAATAACTTTTAATCTTTAAAGTTAAAAAGTAAAGAGGGTGAGGGGTGGGAGGTACACCAAGTCCTTGACACAAGGTAAGGTGCTCAATATCGCACTCAAACTAGCTTGAAGAGTAACTGTATCTCTACCATAAGTTTTAAAGAATTTTGTCTTACTAAATTCATGCTTCAAGGCTGCACGTTCCCTGCAAAAGGGTCAAGAAGGAAAGTCTTAGGCCGCATGTCACTCATAATTATCATAATTTACTTTGTACTTACTATGTGCCAGGGTCTGTGCTAAATGATTTACATGAATGGTCACATTTTGGCCTCCTAAAAACCCTATGAGAGGCTATTATTCCCATTTTACAGATGCAGAAACTGAGGCACAGAAGTTTAAGTAACTTACCCAAGGACACAGAGCTAGTAAGAGGTAGAGAAGAGATGTTAACCTGGTTTCCCTGATTTTTTTTTCTCTTCTCATAACCATCTGAAAAACTCACATATACAAATAGAGAACTTAAGTGGGCTAAAATACTTCAAATTACAAAAGGATTCATCACAAAGTTCTCTAGGTCCCAAATTCCCCTCTAACCTGAGTCAATAAAATCTATAATTTTATTTTCTGGAGTTTGTTTTATACCCAACTTTTAAGAAACCTATTTTTTTGCCTGTAACATAAGGACTTTTGCTCTTCAAGAAGAGTCGCTCCTAAGCCTTTTATCAAATCAGTTCATTCTGATATGATTAATTTTGTTACTGGTTAATTACTGACTTATTTTTATGGGTATTGAAAAAGTAAATTTAGAAAAGAGTTTTGGGCAAGGTAGTTTATAATTTAAGTATGGATTTTATATTTATATATTTGTATATATTCACATATAATTAAAATCAATCAAATGGATAGCCTGAAAGAGTGAAATTATAGTGTTACCATGAGTAGAGCAGGAGTTGGGGGCTTTCTTCTTGAATCTGGCATCAGCTTAGTTTATAGATGTTTTCTCTCATTAACCTTTATGTTGTGGAGATAATTAGTGACTTGGGGAACCAACCGCAAAACACACTTGAAGTGGTCACATAGCTCTTTGACTTCTTCATGCACCAAATTAAACTGGACCCAATTATTCCGAATGATAGAAGACATCTTTTGAAAAGCTTTGCCTCCTTCATTTCAAATGGTTTACTAGAGTGAAAATCAAACGATGTGGACCCTGATTTTCTCTTTTGGCCACACACCTTATTACCTAAAACCATTCGAATCCTTCAAAAGCTCTTGCTTCACAGAGAAACAAACGTATGCAGACTGCTGTGATTATCCCTGATTGTGTAAAGTTGCCCCGGAACCCTGTGGAGGGTCCTGAGATTCTTGCTGCCAGCCTTCTACCTGCCGGAGAACATCAGGGCAGCCCCATGGGAGGCCAGCCCTGCTGAGGAGGCTGCCGTCTTGAGCTTGGAGATGGCCTCTCAGGCTCTGAGAACACTCCTTGCCACTTCCTAAGGCACCCTTCTGCATCCCTATCCCTGTTCCCACTTCTGGGAGCGAGACCACGAGGCACCGGTGCTTACATCCTCCCCTCCCCTCCAGCCTTCTGTAGGGCAATTCCGAGCTGCTGCTTCCCCCAGTTCTTGTGGCTGGATTAAGGTGGTGGCCGGGATGGAATAAGTTTGAAATTGAACCGACTGAATTAATTTACATAAGAAAAAGCTACTCTCTGGAGAGAGGCTGGATGTGGCTGTTGAGTGGGACTTTGGGTGAGAAAAATGATGACTTTTTCAGGAAAAAGTAAGTATTTGCATTATTTTTAAGGCATTTGGCATTCAAGTTATATTTCTTTTAAATAGGACACCATGTGAAGATGGACCTTTAAGAGAGGAAGAAGGCTCAGGTTTATTCAAGTTACACTTCAAATAATGTTCTGAGAGGAAAGTGATTTGGGTAGAAAAATAGAAGGCCATGACTTTCAGTGGGATTTTCTGAATTTGCATGGTTTGGAATGGGACTGTGAAGTGTAGGGAGTTGAAGAGAGGGGCCTGTGGGATGAAATATTACCAGGTGAGGGCCTTTCACCTCTCTTGGATTTGTGGGTGAAGCTGAGTATATCTTTGGGGGTGATTTCACACGAAGAGCAAACCCCAGTGCTGGAGTAAGGTGACACCAAACTTCAATTTCTTTTCTTGGTTTAGTTTGTAAGTGGACTAGATTGTCAACATACGGAAGAATTTTTTTGTGGGTTTCTTGCTCCACAAGTGCCAAACTGACGTTCTGATGCCGTTTGGCATGGCTGCTGGCTGAATGACTCAGCCCTGGCCTCAGGGGCCCTCCCTCTGCAGGCTGGCCCTCCCTCAGGGATGCAGGTGTGTCCCCCCCCTCAGTCGGAGGCCAGAAGACTAACCACAGTCTCCTGGCTGTGAGATGCAGGCTCCTGCATTGGAGGTAAAACAGGGAGAAACACCAGCGGGCAGGGTCCCTGACCACAGAAGCTCAAGTTAGGTCCTCCTTGTGCACAGGACAACTTGCTGTCTCTTTGGCAACAAAGAAACATAGACCCACTCAGAAATGGCTTTAAGAGAGTGAGAATTTGTGTGGCTATGGCGACTTGCCATTGAATACTATTTCAAAGCAACTGAGAAAGTTAACTAGCAAATCTGTTTTACAAGCCAGGAAAGGTGTGGTGGTACATTCACACCAGTTTATAGCAGGACAGTTGAGTCCAGGAGTTTAAACCACTTGTCTGGTAGCCAGTGAGTACAGTATCTGATTTCGTGTTCTCCTCTCTTAATGCATGCACCTAGCAATCTGTGGGGCTGTGTGCTGGGCATGAACCAACTTTCAAAGCCACCGGAGAAGTTGCAGAGACACAGCATTGTCCCTCTGTGGGACCAGGCTCCTTGGGACAGTTAGAAATTTGGCTGAGGATCAGCTTAGCGGGGAGGAAGCAGTGATGGAAAATTATTATTCCTCTGAAAATAGTTATTCATGGGAATTTGCCATGACTGGTATGGCCATTAACACAGTTATTTCATTTCACTTTAGATGTGGGGTCCAGCCCAAGGCAGGGGCAGGTGAGGCCTCAGAGCGCAGTTACCATTTACCCAGCTCACCTGTGGGACTCAAGCAAGTGAAACTGCCAGAGAAGAACCACAGTGCTTTCAAAGGCATTCCCTCAGGTTCACGGTATATTTAAAATCATTACTAGGAAAAAGGGCCTAGAATTTTGAAGAATCTGTCAGAAATCTTCAGCCCAGTGGGAGGATGAGAATGGATTTATCTTGCCTGAAACCCCAACTTCTACTCAGAGTTATCCCAAAAATCTGGATAATGCTAAATACACAAAAACAACAGAAATGCTTTCTTTTCTAGACCGGCACCCCTGAAAACTAAGAATAACAATCACTTCAAATATGAGCTATTGATCCAGTCCTCCAAGGCTAGTCAATAACAAAAGCTGTTCTTTGTAGGGTTTAACATTTGCCCAATCTACTTGTAGCCCTTGGGGTTTGGGCTTAACCCACAAGAGCCATATTAGTTGTCTCTGACCTGGGATAGGTCTTACTGCCTGGGGGAAAGAGGGGAGTACTAGAATGTATGCCAAGTGTATTAGATTCTACCCATTATAAACATGTTTGAGGAAGCTTCATGGAATCAGTCCGATAGACCAGAGAAGTTATTTCTGGACCTGGGGCTTCCTTGGCTACCACCTCCCCACTACTTGCCTCCGTCCCTGATTCTTGTAGCAGACCTACCTGAGAACACCAGGTATTTGCTTGGTGGCATCTTCTTATATCCTATTAATCTTCACAGATGAGACAACTGAACATGCTCCTGCCTTACATGGCCCTGAGTTCTGCTCTGTGCCAGCATCAGGACCAGTCTTGCCCTGGGCGGAGGGCTAGAAAGACCTTGGCCCTAGTAGTTAGCATCATGTCATGGTGGTTACTGGATCCACTCTGGCTTCATGTCCTGGCTCCAGAAAGTAGACTCTTACCTTGTCCAGTCACTTGAAAAATATTTATTGAGCACCTACTATGTGCTAGGTCCACAAATACAGCAATAACTAAAACAGGTGGAAATCTTCTCTAGCTTCTGCTCTTTTAAGAAACTGAGTCAGGGTCTCCCATTACCAAGTTTCAATTTTGGCTCCCTAAGCAGTAAGTCACTTCTTCTAGAACATGCATACAAATTTCCTGGGGCTCTTGTTAAAGTGCAGATTCTGAGTTGGTAGGTGTGGGTGGGGCCTGAGAGTCTGCATTTCTGACAAGTTGCCAAATGATACTGGTGTTGGGGGTGCTGCCTAGATTGCGCTCTGAGGGCAAGGATGCTCAGCCAGCAGCGGAAGCCCGAGTCTCAGGCCTCACTTCTGACCTAGCTTTCAGAATCTGCCCTTTCACAAGATCCCCAAGAGCTCAGAAACAAGGACGCAACATCAGAAGTACCAGGTGAGAATTACAAATACTGTGGGCTCCACTTTCTGCCTGCTGAGATTTATTGGAGGGCGGTGGGCCCCCTGGGATACCAGGTTGAAAACCTCAGAGAGCATTTTTGGAGGACACTTTTTGAGATCTGTGGAATTTCACCAGGGAGCCTTAGAGGTGATCTGGTAATCATCTGAGATTGTGTGCTCCTCTGATGTTATCCTCACGCAAGTCCCAGATAAGAAACTGAGGCCAGCTTCTTGCCCAGGGTCACATGGTTAGGGAATGGTGGGGTCTGGCCTTGAGCACACGGGCATTTCACCAGGGAAGCCTCTCTGCTGCGGTGCAGCCCAGCTTCCCGCCCACCACAGGAAGGCCTCTCCTTGGCTATTACCTGAAACCCTCCCTCCTCCAGCAAAGAGCTTCAGTCCATGATCTCTAAGCCTCCACACCCTCACGACAGCTTTCTTTGGGCACCCATGAATGCCATCCTCTCCCCACCACCAACCAAACCACATGCTTAATTGGTTGACTTTCCCCCAAGACTGACGCTGTCAGCCTTTTGATAATGTCTGCAGCTCTTCTTGGGACCGGTGAAGTACGTGGGCAGGGAGGGTGCCATCTGCTGGACTTGCACCCATCTTTCAGGAAGGCAATCCCTTCTCCTGTTCTTTGTCTTCTGTTTCAGCACCTCTTTTGCTAAGTGTTCTGCAGCCTTCCGAAATGTGTGTAAGCACTACCTTTCTTCACTTACAGCCTTAAGACTTCCTCATTCTTTCCCATTGGCCGCTTTCCCTCCTCCTGGCCCAGGGAGCTGCTGCTCACTATGCAGAGTTAAGTGGACACACCTGGAGTCTAAGCTCTGGGTCTTGGAACCTACACATCCCCAGCCCTGCACTTTTCAGTCTTGATTAAAAAACCCAATGTCTGGACTGTACTCAGATAAATTAAATTAAAAACTGAGTGTGGGAAGGTGGCACCAGTAGTTTATTAAGCCCTTTAGGTGATTCTAATGTGCAGCTAAGGTTGAGGGCCATTGGAAAGTCCGTATCAAATTCTTTCTGGATGGGCATATGTGCATTTTCTGCAAAAGCTAAGTCATGCTGTTGGCAGGTTCTATGACAAGGTCCTCCTTCCCTTCTTCCCCTCAAAAAAGGCTCAGTGACTGGTCTTGGATAATAAGTAAGCAGGAGTAACTTACCGATTATTAAGGAGAAGCCAAATATGTGTGTTAACTAGATAAATAGCCATTAACATGCAGAGCTGAGAAAGTATCTATTGTTGCTTTAGAAGTGAAGAGGACCTTGGGAATGTTATGTTTGGTGGGATATGAGAGTCCCTACTACTCTCCCAATTAGCCAAGAAAATGCTGTAATTTCAGATGCTGCCGCCATCGAGATCTGATCGTATCACTTGACTCCCCCACTGCCTACTTCTCAACTGTAACGTCTGTATGGTTACCATTGTATGGTTTCTTCGTAACCTAACTCCTTTCCTGCACTTCTTCATGCACTGCAGTCCCAGGAGAGTGATGTCTGTCCAGTTTGTTGACACCTCTTTGCCTCCACTTCTCTTCTCTCCCAGTGTGGATAAAGGGAAGGTTTCTGCGGCCGGGATTCTCACCTGGCCCTGGTCGGCTAGCTCACTACACACATGTGGGCAATACATTGCTACTGGCTCAATATAAAGAGCTCTGCCCATTGCTTTTGGTGACATGGTGGCACGGCTGAAGGAGAGCAGAAACTGGAGTGGTGGCAGAGCTGAGGACAGAGAGTGAGACGGCTGTTGGGGCAGAGAGGCCCAGAGGCAGAGGCCGGCTTGCTGCATGCAGACTCGCTCTGAGTGGACGGGATTCTAGTGACTGACCTGCCACTGTGGGAATAAAGTTGGGTATAAACCCTTTCACCAAGAACATTCCATTGTCATTTCTCAGTCTCATTGAATCTATTGTGAACTTGTCTGGGGCTGAAACCCATTGGCAAGACACCCAGGTTCTCTTGCTTTGTCTGTCTTGGGTGGACCTGGGCAGGGAAGTAAGACTGGAGGCAGGCTTCCCGGAGAACAGAAGGGCTCAGTTCCCATTTGTTAAAGTGAGGGGGCAGCTACCTTGGATTAGAAGTTCCTGCCTTGGGGAGGAGGGTATGATATACAGACATTCAGAACCTCTGGCTCTTAAGGGAGTCATGTGGGGTGGTGGCCGGGGAGACAGTCCAAGCATCTGAGGAGCACAGGGAAGTGTAATAGGTGCTCTGTGAGGAATGTGTGGAGGGAAGTTGGGGGTGGGATGAGGAGTGGTGGGTCTGGAGAGACTTCGTACAGAAAGGGACTGATACCCAGCAGGCCTCCGTGAAGAGAGATGGGACTGAATTGGGAGGCTGAGGCTAGATTATGGAGGGCATTGAATGCCAGCCTGAAGACCTACCAGGTGCAGATTGAACCCAGTTGGTGCTCCCAGGTCTTGCCCCTCAGGAAGTCTTTGCTCTAATACTAAGGTGTTGAGGCATAGGACCTAATTTTGAAAATGTCCCATCTGGAGGTGTCAGAGTTTGGGAAGATGCCAGCTTTCTGCAGGGAGCCCCATCCTTCTCCTGTAGAGTCTCCCTTTCCCCACTGCCATGGCCCCAGGTCCCTGGGACAGGTCAGGGAGCCAGGATCAGTGACCTGGTAGGTAAGAACAGTACTGTTACACCTGTACTTCCCAACCATAAATCAGGTGGGACTTAGGTGTGACAGTGGGTGGACAATGGGCTATCAGGGGCCTCTGCGCACTGTAGAGGAGGAGCGGAGCAGCCTCCAGATCCTCAGGTTTGAACCCAGAGTGCTAAGGCGGTGTTGACCAGTGGAACACAGACACTGGGTCTAAAGCCCTGCACCAAGAGAAGTTCTTCCTCCATCTACTTTCCTGAGCTGATAATCCAGGGTAAGCAGCTGTGCTTTTTCCTCTATACAGCATTTCTCCCTGCAAAAGGACCTCACCCTTCCACTTGGGCTGCCAATGGTTTTGTACTTTAATAAGGCACAGAGGGCTCATTATGTAAATTTAGGCCACCCTCCGCCACCAGTCATGAATTACATCTGTATTAATAAACATTTTAATTAACACTAACAAACTGCCAACTGTGTTAGGTGTAAATAACAGGTGAATTCAGGTTGAAATAATGAGACTAGAAAACCATGTTTCCTTTCTACTCCATTCAAAAATTTCAAGACAGTTCAGATGCTATGTCTTTTTAAAAGCAAGCTTATAAATTCCCCTGAACCCTGAAACTATCAACAATACACAAATACTTACCATTGCTTGCCATTTAAACATACATATTTATTGATGATTTAACATTTGTATGGGGCTGCTCACTGCAGATGCATTCAGCAGATACTGCACAGATGTGCAGGCATTATTCTAGGCACCAGGAAACAGCAGAGAAAAGTAAGACAAAGCTGCTGATATTAAGACGTTTACATTCGGATGGACAAAGACAGACAATAAGGAAATCTATAAGTATACACAAAATATTAAATGGTGATAAGTGCTATAGAAAAATAAAAAATGGGGTAAGGAGAGTAAGGAGTGTGTGCATGTATGCGTGTGTGCGTGTGCTTTTTTTACACAGGGAGGAGAGGGAAAGCCTTACCAATTAGGTGGCATTTGAGTGACAGGATTTACTGATGGATTAGATACAGGACGAGAAGAGAAAGGTGGCTCCCAGGTTTTTCATTTGAGCAACTGCAGAAATGGAATTGCCACATACTGATGTGGGGAACCCTGGGGGATGCAGGGCAAGTTTGGGGATTGCTTTTGGACATGTAATGTCAGGTAGGCAGTTAAATACAATGATCTTGAGTTCAGAGGGAAGGCTGGAACTGAAAATGTACATTTGTAAGTCTTCAGCTCATAGATTTTTTAAAACCAAAAGTAAGTGTGCCCATCAAAGGAATGAGTGTGGACAGAGAAAAGAAGAGACCCAAGGATTGTGCCTGGGCACGCCTCCACTGAGGGGTGGGTGAGGTGAAAATGGAGAAAAAACTGATGGTGAGAAAGGAGGAGCGCCAGGAGAGTGGGCTCCTGAGAACCAGGCCTGAGAACCGAGCACCGGGCTGGCTTTGGTGGCGGTCCCTGGGGGCTCTCTCCACGGTGGATTCTTTGCAGAGCAGGAAGGGGAGGAGGTAAAAGCTTGATGACAGTTCTCAGAGAGAGAGATCGTCTTAGTGTGCTTGGGCTATTAGAACCAAATGCCACGAACTGGGTGGCTTATAAACAACAGGGATTTGTTTCTCACAGTTCTGGAAGTCTGTGAGCAGGGCGCCAGCACGTTCAGGTTCCAGTGAGAGCCCTCTTCCAGGCTGCAGACTGCTGACTTCTTGTATCCTCATACAGCCGAAGGGGTGAGGGGTTTCTTTTAAAAGGACACTAATTCCATTTATGAGGGCTCTGTCCTCATGACCTAATCACTTCCCAAAGATACTTCCAAATATCATCACACTGGGGATTAGGTTTCAAAATGAAATATGAATTTGGAGGGGCAGGGGACACAAACAGTCTAAAGCAGATTGTCTCTATAACCTTGGTCCTGAATCAATTCTGAACTGCTGATTTCCTGTCTTTCAGGCAGCCCAGGTACCAAGTGGTCCTGTGCTCTAGCCGATCCTGCTGCTGCTGAGAAGGTGGCTACAAGGCTCTCTCCTGCTCGGACCAGGTGTCTGCATGGTCAGTAAGTGCCTAGCAGGAGGTTCCAGGGCTCTGTGGGTGGGGTCTGAAACCTAAAACTAGAATCCAGAGCAATGTGGATGGAGAAGAAGGTGGCCATTCCTTAGTCCAGAACTTCTGTGATCTGTGTAGTGCAAGGTTCTGAGGATCTCTCTCAAGAGATGAAACTTCATTTTTACACTCTGAGCTACTGAGACAGATTTCATGTAAACGGTTCTATGGTTTAAAAGCTTGAAATCCACTGAAAGCTAGCCCCATGTCTGTCATCATATTGTGGCTTCAAGACGTCACCCCCAATAAAAAGGAACTAGAGTGCCCTAGAGAAATGGCTGATTCCAAGTCTGGGTCAGGGAAAGTACAAGGTCAACCTGACACAGCTGGTCACAGACAGCAAGGAAGGGGGCACGTCCACAGAACACTGGGCCAGCCTGAAGGGGCTTCCGAAGGTCAAAGCTGGGAAAATGTGTCCCTTGAAAATAATGATGATTATGGTTGATTATAAAACAATGAATAAAAAATCCATTATAGTGATGCTAAAAAATTGAAGAAAATTACAGAAAGGGGAAAAACCTCTTTGTCACCATTGGAAGTGACTCTTATGCCAATTTCTTGTTCTGAATATTGGTAATTAAAAAAAATTAACATTTACTCTGCTTTTTAAGGAAGGACTATAGTTCAGTCTCAGTCGATGACGGGAAGTTCTTTACAGGAAAAAGAAAACAACTAGCTGATAAATGAAGAAGGACTTATATAAATTAGAAAATCACATTGTGTACCCTTTAATGTAATTACTGTGTCAGAAAAGGATCATCAGTGGATGCTAAAACCATGATGTGAAAGAGCGTTGGGGAACAGGATATTCTCATATGCCAAAGTATCACCCCAGAGAAAACTACAAAGAGAAGAAAAAAAAAGGTGTACCTTTATCATGGGGAGATCTAGAGATCATCCAGTGTAGCACCCGTGGTGGGCAACCTGACATTCTGGACCCCTGATATATTGCAATGTGAAGTTGAATGCATTGCCTATGACATCCTCTCATCAAAAATGTCTCAAGTGGCATCTACTCAAGCCTTTAGAACTACCTTCCAGTTTACAGGAAATACAGGAAACAGAGGAACAAATAACACCCTAAGAAAACAGAGAAATCCCAAATATGAGACACTTCAAAATAAACTCATTCAATCTATTTAAAAATCCAGTGTTATGAAAGAAATAAGTGAGGGGTTTTGTTTTAGATTTGAAAGAGATTGAAGGACTTATGAGAACTAAAGGTAATGTATGAAACTTGGTATGATACTGTTTTTGAAGAGACCAGTTATAGAAGACAATCTGCATATGGATTACACATTAGGAAACTGTTATTAATTTATTTTTAGGCATGGACATAGTATTGTAGTTATTCTCGAGGGATACATACTTAAATATTTAGTGGTGAAGGGTTATGATGTCTGCAATTTACTTTCACATGGCTTAGCAAAAAACCATATATATATAATAATCATATACATTTACTCAATATACATAGAAGAATTTACATTTGTTGAATTGGGTATATGGTTTGCTCATTGTACTATATTTTCAACTTATTCATATGTTTGAATGCTTCTTTATAGATAATTGAGGAAAAATACTATACAGACCCTGAGCCTCACCCTTGGCATCAGGGTCTTGTAAAAGACCACAGGTAACTCCAATATATCATCAGTGGTAAGAATCAGCGATTCAATGCTCACATTGGCCATGAAGCTGAGGTCTGAAGAGTTGAAAGACTACAAAGGACAGAGCAATGACTAGAACTCATGTTCCTTGGCTTCCAGTCCTGTGTTCTTTTTTATATATCCTCTTAAGGAATTTCCTAGATAAGAAACCCTTAACCCTCTTGAACACCTAAAGCTCTTTGTCAGCAGATGAACTGCACCCAATAAGGAGGAATTTGGGCACCTAGAGGGAGTTCAGTTGTTGGGAGTCAGGTTATGGGAAGCTGGGGATCAAAATTATTAGAGAGGAAAAAAATTATTAGAGGTACTAAGGGTGAGGACAGTTCTAGTTTAAATAATTGAATGGTATTGAATTGGAGAGTTGATTTTTCTCTTTTAAATAATCTTATTTTCAGTCCCAGTAAATAGTTATGAATTTGAATCTTCATACATCTGTAGGATTTAATATATATATATATAATCATAGATTAGAAAAAATCCCAAAGTCCTTATTGTTAGTTGGGAAATGAAGTTACAGATGAAGTTCCAGATGTTGAAGAAGCCCAGATTCCTTGCAGAGAGACATGAAAAGTTGAAAATGGCAGAGTATTATGTCCCAATGTCCAGTGGGAAAGGCATGAGTCTTCGCAGTCAGACAAGATCTGGGTTCAAATTCTGTCTCTGCCACTGACTAGTTCTGTGACACTAGGCAAGTTATGTGAGTGCTCCAAATCTCAGATATTTGGGCCCTATTACCAGGCACTGGGCCAGGTGCTCTGGGTCAGCAGTTAGCCAGATGCACACGGTCCTGACCTCCAGTAAATCCAACAGGTTATTAAGGAATGGAGGATATTCAGGTGGGTGTCCTAACTCTGAAGAGCCTGTGAAGATGGAGTTGGGTCGGGGGAAGCAAAAGAGGGCAGTATTTTAAGGAAGTATTATCCAGCTTGAGGAGTGGCTGAAGAATACAAGTTCCTGTGGTTTTAACGTAGGTGGTTGCGATTAATGAAAAAAGTATATAAAGAACTAATTCTGAAGTAAGAATGAGGGCCCGAGATGCAAGCCCTTAGCGTTAACAAAGTTACTCTCCAGTGCGTAAGAGGACTCTAACCTTCACCACGAAAGCAAAACACCTGCTGGGTCCAAATTACAGGAAAGCAGCATAGACAGTAGAAGGTTAGGTTAGGGACCTAGGGCGTGGCTTCGGGTAACCTCCGCCCATCCTCTTCCGGAACTCGCTGTGCCCCGGAAGCAATTGTTTGTTGAGGGACTTCGCGCTGCTGTGGAGACTGCAGGGTTTGCCGTATCCATGCTCCTGTCCGCGGTCACCTGTAAGTGGGGCCGGAGACGAGGGCAGGAGGCTGTGACAGGCAGGCGCCGGGACGAGGAGGGCCGTGGTGCGGGCGCCGGCCGGGAAGCTGCCGCTGAGCCCTCCCGGGCTGGCCGGACTACGACACCCGGCATGCCTCGCGCCGCGCCTCCCGGCCGGGCTGCCGGGCCTCGGGGGTCTGCGGTGCTGGTTCTGGATCCAGTTGCGGTTCTCAGGGACTGTGGAGTTTGGTCAGCAGGACTGGGCCCTTTCCTCCGCCCGCCCTCCATAGGGATGTGTCAGCAGATCACTGGATGTCCGAACTGGGAAAAAAACCTCAGAATTTGTAGTCCACACATTTCGAACTTTAACGATGAGAAAACGGTTTTCGGAGGGGCAGTGATTTACCGCAGGTCATACAGCTGGGCTGGGAAAGAAGCTCTCCGGCTCCCAAGACAGTGCTCTTCCCTGCAGCAGGCTGACTTCCCGATTAGGTTTAGTTTCTCTTCTCAGCTTAGGTGATGTGTTGGTTGCTGGAGTTTGCGTAGGTTAACCTGTCAAACAAGGGACTTGTTCCAGGGCAAATATTTGCCCCTTTGAAGAGGAACAAATAGAGCAGATCTTAACTTTAGAAAAGAGACTGAGCAAACATTACAGAATTGTGTTGGTCTGATTGGATCTTTTTATCTTCCTCCTATAAAATCCTAATAGGATCCCTAACAGCTAGGGAGTAGTTACTTGAGTAACAACCCTTTGCATACTTCATGACCTAAGTACTTTTGGTCATTACTGACGTAAGAACTCTGCATAAGAAAGATAATAAATTGATATTTTTCTTTTCTCTTCCAACCTTCTCCCTCTACAAAAAAGTTGCCAAGAGCAAGTCAAAGTAAGTAAAAGATTTTCTTTTTTAAACTTTACTTGTTTATGTTAGATTGATTAGTCTCCCTGCTGCCAGTACATCCGTATATTAAACTAAGCATTTGGTCTCAATTTTATAAAAGTTGGTGTTACGATTACATTTGATTAATTATTTTGGCTTTTTGAACCCTTCCAGAAAAATATTTTCTCCCCTGCCCAGCTGACCTACTTAAGTAAGCAAAGCATTCAAATAATTTACTTAAAGGAGCTCTTGCTGCCTTGATCCTAAACAGGGTTCACATGCTGTCTTTGGACTACCACCATATTTGTTTCCTCCAAATTGAGGACCCCCCCAAGGGCCGTTTATCTGGAGCCCACTACAGGAATTAGCAGAACAAGCTGTGATGTGATTAAACCATGCAGCCTATTTTAATGAGTTTTGTAATCCTTTGCATTCATGGTATAAGCATTTCAAAAATAGCAAAGATTAAAGATTCTATGCTGTACCAGAGAGACTGTAAATACCAAACTGGTATCTCAAAATACATTCTGGAGACAATAACTGAAATTATATATTTATTTTGTTCAAAATAAATAGGGAAATTCTGAAGCAGACTTTGCTTACAACCCAGACACATCACAAATCCTTTAAACTTGTTTTTCTGGATTAAAGTTAATGAAAAACATGTATGTTAGTGTTTTCCCTCCAGTATCTTTTATTGATTCCTATAGCTTGTCTCACAGTCATTTCTGTTATAATTTCCCACCCCAGTTCTGTAGGAATTCTCATACCTGCCTCTCATGTTTTTTGCATCCTTCTCGTGACGTTTGTCATATATGCTTTACCCTATACACATGTACCCAACTCATTTCCATACTGTACTGTTAGTTCCTCGAGGGCACAGATACAGCCTTACGGAGCATTGCATTTCCTAAAGTGAAGTGAGCACTTAATGGAGATTTGCTAAATCTTTTTGAATGATTGCCTAATTATTGTCTATCTTAACAAATATTGTGTACTTATGTCTGAGGTACTGTGCTGAACATTGAAAGGGATGCAAAGGTGTGTAATATATCTTAGATGCTTAGGCCAGTGAGCAAAACGTGAACTTTGTGGTTTGGATAACTGTAACTTAAATGAAATATGGAGGGAACAAGGTTTCCCATGTTTGCAGTGTAATGTGCCAAACCCTTAATTTTGTTCCTTCTTGATTTTATTCTTATTTGTCAACCCTGGAAGATAGGGCTCTTTTGAAACAGCCATGTTTATGATGTCCTGACTGGCCAGGTAGGGTTAACCAGTACTTTTGTATTTTCTGTCCTCCTGACTTCTACTCTTTCTAAGAGGTGGGTATCTGAGTTTATCCCCACAATGTCATCTGATTGTTCTAGTTGCTTTGTTTAGGTCATTAGCAAGGCACTCAGTAATGAGGCAGACCTTAGGAATCAAAACCACTGAAGTGGAGATCTGTGGAAAATGTAGGCCATCTTCAAACTGAACCTCCTTAAGGCCAACTGATGTTCCACAACTAATATTACTGTATAGTGTTCTCAACACATGCCATGCCTCTGTGACGATTGTCGGCTATTTCCTCAGCTAGTAACAGCTTGCTTTTTAAATTTTAGAACCATTCTGGTGAAAATGCTGAGCCAAGCTGGGACAGGGTTCTGCTTCAATGCTAAGAGAAACCGACTACAGGAGAAACTGACGCTGTTGCATTTTGATCCAATTGGTAAGACTCGGGGAAGATGCTCTACAGTTAGTTCAGATGCTTCCAAGGACCTGTTGCCCTTTCCAGACTCCTGCTGAGCATTTCTGGCAGTTTTGCGGTCCTTTTGACACTGTAGCATTTGCTCAGCAAGTACATGTTGAACGTTTACCATGGCTCCGGTGACTCTCCCAGGTGCTGGATGTACTAGAATGCAAAGCACACTTAGTCCCTGCGCTCTTGGCACTCACATTCTGGTGTGGAAGGGAGGGGAAAAAAGAAAAAATGACAAATTATGCTAAGTACTATGAGAGAAACAAGCAGGATGCAGAGCTATAGCATAAAGGTGGGCGAGACAGATTCTATTTGTATCCCCCCTTCAGATACGTAGCTCAGGGCACATCTCTCTAGGAGGAGGTAGTTGGCCAGGGATCGGAAGGTGAGAAACCAGCCAGGTGAAGAGAATCATGCAAAATTGAAGAGTGTCTTGAAAAGGGGAGGGAATTTCTCCTGGGATCATCAGCCCACCAGTGGCGAGTAATTAGGATCAGATTTGAGTGACAGAGTGGTGTCTGTACATTTGGAAATTTTATTTTCTGTTTTGTTCCATCTGCTAAAATGCTGTCGTAAATGGTAACTTTAAATGGTCTCAGTAGATAGTATTTGTCCAGAGAGACAAGTGTTCCTAAGGCCCGACTGCCTGCTGACAAACGGAAGGGTTAGCACCTGATTGCTCTTGGTGGGAGACCACCCTGTTTTTGGATTTCAGGAGCAGATTTATGCAAAATAAACTGGCAAACAAATTATTTTAAAACTTGTTTATAACAGCAGTGATCCCCTTGATGATGGCTCCACCCTCATGACCAAAGCACTTCCCAGAGGCCCCACCTTCCAACACCATCAGCTTTGGGGGCTGGAATTTCAACATGAATTTTGGTGCAGGGGGACCCAAACACTCAGACCATAGAGATTTCACAGGCCATTCATTTCATTTTTGTGCTGTTCTAAATAGCTCCTTTATAACTGCTTAAAAAGGGCCTTACTGGAGCTTCTGGATTGGTGAACACATGGAGGTTCTGGGATAGTGGCATGCTCGGAGAGGGTATGGAAGCTCCTTGCCCCTTCCTCATACCTGGCCCTGTGCATCATTCGCATCTGGCTTCCTGAGTTACTATCTCCAGGTAGATAGTGTCAGAATTAAGTTGATTGTAAGACAACCAGTCAGTGATCAGAACTGGAATTCGTACCAGAATCTTATTTCCCAAAATCAATCCATTGTATAATGAAAGACAGGCACTTAACCTCGTAATCAGCCTTTATATTAACTAAGAACAAGAGCTCGTAGACTCTTACTTCTGAATGGAGCAATAAGGATTGGATTTACCTTCCCATTTGAAACAACAAAAGGACAACATAGGCAGCAAGTGGCAGTGATCCCCGAGAAAAAGGCAACAAACTAGTGCTTTTGAGTAACCAGACCAAATGGACGGTCCTGTCTTTCTGCCTACCTACCTCAGTCTTCATGTCTTCACATGCCGTGAATCCATCATAACACAAGCACCCGTCACCGAGTGCAGTCTGAACCCATTTTGTAGATGAGGAATCTGATGCCAAGGATCTTAATCAAGGACACATAACTAAACTACTTGACAAACAAAGATTTGACCTCAGGAATGTCTGACTCCAAAGCCCAGGCCCTGAACTACTCTACATGGGGACCTGGTATTGAGAGATTTCACAGGAGGCTAAAACCCACTTACTGGTACATGACCTCTGTTCTCGCATTAGTGTGAGTCCTGGATGACAGCTATATTCATAACTGCCTTCAGAGTTTGTACAGAAGGTCTCACAGCCACCATTATGCTACATTCGTCAATGTCTAAGAAAAATAAAAATAATATCACCTTCAAAAAAAGAAAAAGGGCTATACCAGTGTGAGGAGGCATATAAAAAAGGCCCTGAGCAGCACGGTTGTCAGCTTAAAATTGCATGAGTTCTGTTCGTTAACAGAAATAAAATTCTCTGGTGTTTTTATGGTGTTAAAATTTCTGGTCATTCTTTGTCATAATAAAAAGGGAATTCACACTTTGTCTCTGATGATTAGGAGTCTGAATTTCAGGATGCCACCTCATATGGTAGAAAAATTATTAGAATGATATGGTATGTGTCTTACTCTGTATGGGTCACTGTAATAAAATACCACAGAGTGGGTTCTTATAAACAACAGAAATTTATTTCCCAGAGTTCTGGGGCTTGGGAAGTCCAAGATCAGTGTGCCAGCATGGTTCTCTCTGGGGAGGGCCCTCTTCCTGGTTCAAAGTCTGTGCCCTCTCGCTGTGCCCTCCCATGGTGGAGGGGCAAGCAAGCTTTGTGGGGTCTTGTTTATAACAGCAGTGATCCCCTTGATGATGGCTCCACCCTCATGACCAAAGCACTTCCCAGAGGCCCCACCTCCCAACACCATCAGCTTTGGGGGCTGGAATTTCAACATGAATTTTGGTGCAGGGGGACCCAAACACTCAGACCATAGCAATATGGTGTTGGATTGGTGGGGTGTTTTTCTCTCTGATTTCTTTGCATCAGCTGGTGAAAACTCAAAGTGATGAACTTTACAAGAAATTGTTAGCATTTTACAAAGTTTTTTAGGAACTTGCACAACATTAATTTTGATTGAATAACCTATGATATTTTAAGTAGGAAAAACGGAATTCTCATCCTTAGGTACCAAGGAATTTGGAACTTATTGTTTGTCAGATTGATTTTAAGTTTTGAGATTGGGAAAAGGATACAACTATAAAGAGTTATGACCGTAAGTTGAAAGTTGAAAGATTTCTAACAAGTGGCTTCTAAAAAGCTACTTATGAGAAGCTTAGAGCATAGCGTCACTTCAGTGCGTGCAAGTGAGTCCCATTCACCATTTTTCCAGGGATGTAAGAGAAAAGATTCACATATAAATTTCAAACATAAGATTAGAACTTTTCTGGTAAGGAATGGTCTGAGCCTTGACAACACAACTTTGTCTTTTCTGGAGAAGAAACTATTCTGGGATAGCAGATGCCTGGCTTTCTGCCCCGTACTGAGTGCCCTGCACTTAGTGATAATGTTCGCCTTTGGGCCTGCCCCATTGCCCAGGGCACCAAATAGCTTGGCAGTTCTGCCCGCATATTTTATTGCAATGAGTACAGGGCTAGTTTAAGGGTAATGTTTTATTTGTCTGCTTTATAAAGGAAATCAGGTAAGGAAACACGGAAAAATCCCCAAGTATTTGAGCAATTCATAGTATACTCTGACTAGAACTAGCCTCTCCTTTCAAATTCCTTTTCCTCATGAAACTAGATCCAAATTTCTGAGGAAGGATTAAAGGCTAAGGCATAAGCTTATTAAACTTTGTTAAATATATGAAGGTTTATCATAAAGAAAAATGAAAACATGTCAGTTTTAATTCCTTGGATGACTAAACAGGACAAGATAGATTTTAATTGAAGCAGAATAGATTTAGGTTAGATGTAGGGAAAGAATTTGACACGTTCATTCTTCTGTGAATTAGGCAGCAAATATTTTGACAAAATTAATTTTTGTTTATGATTGTGAATAGCAAGCAGTGTGTCATTTCAACTCAACATGTACCGAGTGTTCACCGTGTATCCGGCAACAACCTTGTGAGGGAGGTGGAGCTACCTTCTCATAGGGAAGAAAACTGAAGGTAGAGAATTTTGAGAGATTTGCCCAGGAATTCACAGCAGATAAACGGGGGGACCAAGGTTTGAACCCAACCTTTCTGGCTCCAGGTCCCCTATTCTTTCTCTTACATTGAGCCAAATTCATCTTCCTAAAAATAAAGGAAGAGTATTTTCCCTTTCTTTTTTAATCAGGACCCTCCTCTGTGGTCAGCGTACCAGTCCAGGCCATGGAGTCGCAGTGTCATGCCTGCCTCCGAGCACCGTCCCCCACCCTGGACGCCCATTCCCATTTTAGGTCAGCCGGATGCTGCCCCTCCTTCAGGGGTCAACCTTTACCCTCTCCCTGAGGTGCTCCTTTACCATCCCAGTCCCTTTCAGTCTTTAGATTCCCATGGGGTTTCCTGGATATTCATACAGGCACCTCATGATACACTGATGTATTAAATCAGGGACTCTTACACTTTTTTTTCCCAAATACATGATGATTGTATTAATACTAAGAAAAATACTAACTTAGGTGGACCAGCTCTGAGTTTTAATGAACAAATCACTCTTCCCTTGCTTAAGTAGGGAGGGAGGCCAGTTCTTTGTCCCAGGTAAAGACCCTACCATCTATCTGCTGCTGATAGCCAAATTTCTATCTCCGGCCACCACTCTCCCCTGAACTCCAGACTTGTTCCAGTTTTCCCAGGGCAGTCCTTGCTTACGCTAAGTATCCTGACATGGTTATTATTATTATTATTTTCTTTTGGTATCATTAATCTACAATTACATGAGCAGCATTATGTTTACTAGACTCCCCCCATCACCAAGTCCCCCCCACATACCCCGTTACAGTCACTGTCCATCAGCATACTAAAATGCTGTAGAATCACTACTTGTCTTCTCTGTGTTGTACAGCCCTCCCTGTGACCCCCCCTACATTATGTGTGCTAATTGTACTGCCCCTTTTTCCCCCCTTGTCCCTCCCTTCCCACCCATCCTTCCCAGTCCCTTTCCCTTTGGTAACTGTTAGTCCATTCTCGGGTTCTGTGATTCTGCTGCTGTTTTGTTCCTCCAGTTTTTCTCTTTGTTCTTATACTGCACAGATGAGTGAAATCATTTGGTACTTGTCTTTTTCTGTAGGGACTCTTATACTTTCGTGAACTCCACATTGCCTAGCACAGTTCTGTGGATTTAAATATTTTTTCTTTGAATTAAGGAAGTGAATACAGTGAATGAATCAAAACATTTTCATGAATAAAGCTTCAGTAATCTTAAGTCACTCCTGTTCAGGATCATTTAAATAGTCTTCTGATTGGTTATCAATTGAGACAAGTTGCTTTCTTAAACCCATTATTTTAGTTCCCTAGAAAAACATGGAAATATTTCTTATAATGAACAATATTGTTGATGGGAAACTTATTTTGTTTTTTTACTACCATTTTATAATGCTTTGTATTCCTTGGACTTCCAAGGAGCATCAGTCCTATTTATATTTAATATTAGATGATTTGAAGTCATTAAAAATATCCCTATGTACAATGTAGCATACATACTATTTTATTACTATTATAGATACAATTCTATGACTGGCTAGTGGTTTTTAAATCCAGGTGCCCTTCAGAGTCATCTGAAGGTTTTTAAAAATGTAGGCTTCCAGCCCCCCTCTAGATCTGCTGAACCAGAATTAGGGTAGGGGTGATGTAAGAAGTAGGAATGTATTTAAATAAGCTCCCCAGCTAATTCTTAACCACAGACAGTTTGGGAATCTAATATACAGAGTATGTATATTGATGATAGAAGAAGAAAAAAAGCTAAAACCTCTTTGTAAAGGACAAATGGATTATGTCAGTCCTTTGAGTTCCTGGATCTTCCTGTGTGTTGTTTGTTGTTTATGGTTTTTTGGCAAAGAAGAATTAGGTGGTGCACGTGTGTGTGGTGGGTGTGTGAGAGAGACAGAGAGGGAAGGGGGGCAGTCAGGGGAAATGAGGGAAGTTAGTGGAGTTCTAGCTCTGGGGCATTAGGAACTGTGAGAACCTTACTGCCTAGCATCTAGTCTCCAGTCTCCAGACAGTTAATATTTCTGTTTTTGTTTTCATGGAACTGTACTGTTATATTTACAATGTGAGATTTTGATTATAGTACTCTCTTACCAGAAAGAAAATCCTTATTTGGGTGTATGAAATCATTTCTAGAAAGTACAAGATTTAATGTATATTCACTCTTTCAGCCAGGCCACATTTTCTTCAGGGATCTGCTTCATTCTTACTGCTCTTTTTCTGGAATCTAGCTCCCAGGCTGTCCTTGCTTGCTCCCTGCAGGAGTGGGCATCAGCGGGCTGCAGACATAGACTGTTGTCCATTTTCTGCTTGTAACTTTCTTTTTTAATTTGAGTATTTCACACTGGTTGACATGTGACCTTGTGTGGTCCCAGGGGTGCCGCCCATTGGTGGTGAACCTCCCCTCGTTTCCCTTACCCATTTTGTTCAGTCTTCTCTGACTTCTGGGATTGAGGAGCTGAGTTTGTAAGTCAGCTCCATCACATCAAAGGAAAATAAAATAAGAGAAAGGGCTTATGGTCTGATAAGTATTTTTATTAAAAAATGGTGAAGATGCTTTTCAGTTTTCTGCCACAACCCTTTTTCTCCTCCTACAGTGAAAAAAAGAGTCCTCTTTGTGGAACAGAAAAAAATACGCTCCCTCTAAACAATGGATTGAAATGAATTTGATTAATAAATGAGAAGACTGAGGGCGGGATACTGATTCAGAAATTCTGCAGCATGTAATAAAAGAAGAGGAAATGGCACGGAATCACTGCCTCCTGTGATTTGAAGGCCATTGTGAAAGGAACAATGCAGTGAAAGAAAGTTCTTCATATTAGGACATATTATTGCATCACATTTATTTATCTTTCTGGATATTTTTATAGCCCTTAATAAAAAACATTAAAATAGCCTATGCCATTGTCTGTTAGTGATGTTTTCCCCCACTCCTTGAAAAAAAAAATGACTACATTACTAAAAAATAACCATTGTCTCATAGAGTTAATGAAAACTTTCCATAATAAGACTTGTGCAAGAGTTTCCAGTCTGTTCCGTCTGGTACTTCATAGAAAAGGCAGAGTCACACTCCAGAGTGCTCTTGAAAAACTCCCATATAATAACAGAGATGGCAGGGGTGAGCAGGAATGATAAGGGAACCAGCCTAGTAACACAAACCATGAGAACTTCTGTTTTTGATTTGTGGCTATATAATAAGGATAAATGCCATTGGTCCATATCCTCAAATTCAGGTCACCACAGCAGTATTTAGGATTTTCTAGGACCGCTTCAGACTCCTTTATCTCCTAGGTTGTATTTTTTAAAATTAAGAGGTGCTAATTCCATAAGGCTTCTAGGGTGTGGTGGTATCACACAGCTAACTAGCTTGGCAGTTCCACTGATCGTACCCACATTTTCAGATAAGGACTCCTGCCCTTCCCAGATCTATATACTTTCTCACTCAAGCTAGTATTGTTTCCTGTAGGTTTTCAGAATTGCTGCTTTTTCCCTTTGTCAAATTTCTGGCTGAAGGTAAGAGTCAGCTTCTATTTTGAGCTCTGCTGGTTCATATCCTTCCTCATCTAAAGCATGTCTATGGGAGAACGACAGTGCCCACCGTGACCACAAGCATTAAGATACCAATGCTGTTCTGAGACAACAGGTGTTCCCCGCCCACGGCCCAGTCTTTATCTCTGGAGGGAAGGCAAGAGCAGCTCTCTGGAAATGGAATTACACGTAGACAGTTGAGTTTAGAGGTCTGTGGTATTATATAGTCAGCCAATTTCTGGTATCTTTTGTTAAAACTCTGGTTCAAAGCAATAATAGGTGAGATCTTGGCTAATTTTAGATTGACCTATACATAATGGTCTCTGGTTACAAGAAAAATCCTTCACCTGATCCTGGCTAAGCCCAGTGTAAAGGGTTTGGACATGCATGAATTGCCTTTAAAAAAAAACAACAAACAAAAAAAATTTTAAATCTGGCTTAACAAAAGATTCATCTATTTAGCACATAGGCTGAATTGTGGCCCACAGGTGGTGTTTTTACATTTAAGTTGCTGATACTTAAACAATGACAGATTTCAATACATATCCAAACTTCTGGCTTCTTTTGCAAAACCAGACGTTTTAACAGCAGGACAGCCAAAGCTGAGTATCAGGTGCCGCTCTTAGGAACTGCATAGAGTGGTCCAGCTCAAATGCTCCCTTCCCTTATTTAACATTCTCTGCTCTGACTATAGATGCTATTGTCCATAGCCTCTGCTGTATGGGGTACCTACAGTATTCGTCCTCTTTAGTGAGAGTTGGCTGGTTCCTGAAAAGTAACCAGTACAGATCCTGGTCCTGGAATCCTTAATTCTGGTTGGCTCTTGCATGAAAAGCAAAGAAATCACCATTCTAAAGAAAGCTCGAGGGTGACTTAGTAAATGAACATAATTGCAAAGGAGAATTTTGTAGGAAGCTGCTAGCTCAGAGTAGCCACATGCCCCCAAGTATATTTTATTTCCAGATACAGTTTAGGGTTAATGGCAATCAAAACAGATCGAGCAGCAGGTCCTTTTTATATGGGTAAGATGCCTGTGTTCCTGCAGCCTGAACACTGACTGCTGCGATGAAATTGGATCTCTTGAGCATTTCTTCCAAGGACAGATTTGGGTAGTAAGCCAGGTAGAAGGCCAAAGCTCCCACAAAACTGTCACCAGCACCCTGTAATTACAAGCACAACTCATCAGGACATGAGATAAGTGTATTCATCTCTTGCCCAAACTATATTATAAAAAATACTTAAATATACTTTTAATTTTAGGATACTTTTAGATTTACAGAGAAGGCACAAGGCTAGTAGAGTTTCCATATATCCCACACCCAGTTCTGTAAACATCTTAAATTACCATGGTACGTTTGTCACAACTAATGGAATAATAGTGATAATTATTTACTGAACCACATACCTTATCTGGTTTTCACTAGTTTTGCTTACTATCCTTTTTCTGTTCCAGGCTCTTGTCCAGGGTACCATATTACATTTAGTTGTCATGTCTCCTTAAACTCCTGTAGGCTGTGACAGATTCTTAGACATTCTTTGTTTTTGATACCCTTGCTAGTTTGAGGACTGGTCAGGTATTTTGTAGAACGTGCCTCAATTGGAATTTGTCTATTTTTCTCATGGTCAGATTGTGGTTATGTTTTTGGGGAGGAAGAAGTGAATGTCATTCTCATCACATTGCCCATCAACATGACTTGTCAGCGATGTCGATCTCAATCACTTGGCTCAGGTAGTCTTGCCAAGTTCTCCACTGTAAAGTTAATTTTGTCCCTCTTTTCCTCCTGTACTGTACTCTTTGGATGTAAGTCACTAAGTGTAGTCCACAATTCAGGGGTGGAGAGTTAGGCTGTCCCTCCTGAGGGGGACTATCTACATGAATTATTTGGGTTTCTTTATGGGATATTTGTCTCCCTGATTCATTCAGCCACTTATTTATATCAGTACGAACTCATAGACATTTATTTTATTCTTTGGGCTATAATCCAATGCTACAGCATTTACTTTGTTGCTCAAATTGTCCTAACTTTGGCAGCTGGGAGTCCTTTTAGTTGCCTTTTCTTTTGTGTCCCTTTGACATACCCCATCATTTTTTTTTTTGAGTGCTTTTTGACTTTCTGACGTCATAAGATGCTCCTGGCTCATCTTGTATGTTCTCTGCTCTAGCTCTAGAATTGCCCATTTCTCCATTAAAAATGCATGCAGGAAATGGTGAGAGCCATTCAGATGTTACATTCAAATGAAATATGGGGCCAAACTGGTTTCAGATTCCATTTTTCCTGAAGCTCCAGAAGTCCGAGTTGGCAAAGGCCAGATAGGGACGCAAGGAAATAGAAAACACCAAAGGAAGTCCGTTAACCTCTGCCTTCATTCAGGGCAATACCTAGTCACGTGTTCATCTACCAAATGTATTTAGAATATTTTAAATGTGATTATACAATCTCACTTGCAAGATCATTTTTGTATTTAACAGTTTTGGGGGTCATTCTCCATTTTTCCCAGTTGCTGGTTCCTTAGACCCAAGAGCTTTCATAATAAATCTTGAGGCTACACTTCAGCCTTTATAAGAGTCCTGGCACACAAGATTGTTTCAGTTACAGGTGAAATATTTAATGACACTAGAAAAGGAGTAAAATCCTTTGTGGATTAAATGTGAAGTAGTGTGGCAGAGTCTATAAATGTTGTTGGGTTTTAAGAAAGTGAAGAAAGTCTTCCTGGAGAAAGGAGGACTTGGAGGAGGAGACAAATTTATAGGGAGAAGGAAGACCTCAGAGAACAAAGACACAGGAGGAGGAAGGAACAGAGTGAGCTCATGAGACAGTGAGTGGCTCTAAGGAGGTGGTATTTCCCCTTGTTTACACGGATCAAGCAGTCACTACTAAACTTGCCAAGAAGTCGTGGTAACACAGGTGTGAATCCAACACTTTTTCCTTCCTCCCATAAATTTTTCTGAGTGTCTAAAATGTGTCAGGCGCTGTGTTAGGTACTTTGCAATCATTTGTCAGTCTTTCCTGATGGAAACAATGGAAACAGAGATACACATGGTTCCTGCCCTCCGTCTGTTTACAGCATGGCAGCGGGACAAGAAAGGTCTGAAACTAGGAAAATTATGAGCTGGGAGGAGAGTGAAATGAAAACATGGAAAATGCCACAGGATATGAAGAGTTATGGCAAACTCTAGGATTCCATCTTGATTCCTCCTCACATCATATACAAAATGAAATTCCATGTAGATTAAAGGCTTGAATGTGAAAAATAAAACAGCATAGTAAGATGAATATTAAGGTGAATATTTATATAATCCCAAGCAAGGAAACCACAAGCAAGTCAGTAAACCCCAAAGGTATAATGAGAAAAGAACAGATTTTAATTTTATAAATTAAAAAAAATTGTATGTCCAAAAATATAATAAATAGAGGCAGATGAAAAAGCACAGATTTGATGAAAATTTCTGCAATACATATGACATATTCCTAATATTCAAAGAACACCTTCAAACTGCTAGGAAAGAGATAAATCCAGGATAAAAATAGACAAAAGATACAGGTCTGCAATTTCAGCAGAGGAAACGTAAATAGTCAATAAACAACATGAAAAGGTGCTCAATTTTAGCAGTCCAAGAAAATGCATATTAAAATAGCATCAGAGATGTGGAAGAGTAACACAATATTTGTTAAAAATGCATATGTCTTTTGAAGCAGCAATCCTGCTTCTGGAAATCTATAGAAGTAAAGCTCCCACAAAACTGGGATATATATGTAAAGATGCTTAATGTTGCATTGTTTCTAAAGGCAAAACACCGGTGATGATGTTACCTTGCAAATAGGAGAAAGGATGAAATCAACTTTGGTACATTCTTATCATGGAAAAGTATGCAGCTATTAATAAGAAAAGGCTTGAAATATATGCACATACCCACAGAAATGTCCATTAGTTAAGTCAAAAAGGAGGTTCCAGCAGCATCAACTCATTTGGGAGTGAAAAAGAGAGGGAGAAAAAGGCACCTACGTATATGAGTATGTTTGGTTTTCTTATCTGCAAGGAATGGGGGCAACATTCTTTTTTTCCTTTATGTGTTTCTGTATTATTGTTAAAGCTTATTGTTCTGAGCTTGTAATATTTTTCTAAAAAAAATCTAAGAGAATAAAAATATTCCAGGAATAGGTAAGCCATGCTCTGTGCCTCCCTCACCTTTAACTTGCAGCCTGACCAGAGAGCAAAGGCACAAGGCTGCGGGGAAACATTCTAGCATCACTGACAGAAACCAGTTTTATATACTCCCACTGGCTCGTGGAGTGTTTGCCTGAAGACGAGATTTCTATGCAAGTTTACAAAGCATTATACCTATTGTACAACTGTACCATTGTATCTATTGAAATCACTTAAATTCTTTCCCATTATAGCCAAAGCCAGGGAAACACAATGCTTGGTAGAACTGTGTGTTAGACTCTAGGTAACAAGGATTTTCACAACTTCATTTCCTTATTCTTAGTGCTACACACCTGTTGGTAGAGACTGCAAAGTAAGTCGGTCATGTATTGAAAATAGGGGATCCCCCACAAAGAAAACTCTAAGCTGGGTGGCTTCACTGCAGAACTCTAGCAAATGTTTAAGTAAGAAATAAAACTAATTTTACCCAAATTCTTTCAGAAAATAGAAGAGTCAATGAAATACTTTCTAAGTCATTTTGTAGGGTAAGCTTTACTGTGGTGATAAAATCAGAGGATGACATGACAGGAAAAACAAGCCAGATCAATAGTGTTCATGAGTATAGATGTAAAAGCCTGAAAACATTTTAGCAAATTGTGTATGTATATATATACCACGACCAATAGGGTCTATCCCAGAAAAAGAAGATTGGTTTAATCTAAAAAAAAATCAATGTAACCCACTATATTAAAAACCTTTTGATAATTTCAATATGCATAGAAAAAGCATTTGACAAAATTCTGCATCCATTTATAATAAAAATTCAGCAAATTTGGAATAGAGGAAAATACAGGAGAAAAATCTTTGTAACCCTATGTTAGACATCTTAGGAGACATAAATAAAGAAAGAAAGAAAAAAATAAATGAAAAAAAATAATGAAGAAGGGAAAACTCTTCTTTAAGGTAGAAGAGCAATTACTAAATACAGAAGTGTGAAAAACCACCACTTTGCAACCATTATGCTAATAACTGATTCAGACAAGATCATCATGGATGCATTAAAACTGTGGGATAAAGGTTTGATTAGCTCAGATATTTGTAGGTTTCAAAGCATCTCCCTTCAGATTGCCTATTAATTACAAAGGGGAGAAGAGTAACCGTACCATGGAGAAACTTGATGGACAGCACCTTGACCAAGTGCCCAACATACCAACGATGAGACAGACTGACATCCCATGCTCTCTGATGTGGGCCTTGACAAGGACGTAACGTCACTTGCATAGTATTCTTGCCCAAAATGCATAACCTAACCTGCGTCATGGGGAAGCATCAGACAAACCTAAATTAAGAAAAATTCTACAGAACAATGAGCTTGTGCTTTTCCAGCGTCAGTATCATGAAAGATAAAATGGTTGAGGACCTCTTCATATTAAAGGAGACTACAGCAACATGACAATTGAATGTGATATGTAGTCTGGATTGGCTCCTGGATTAAAAAAAAAGTATGAAGAACACTATTGGGACATGACTGGACTGTGCATATAAGATTATTTCAGTGTTGCATTTCCTGAATTTGATAATTACACTGTAGTTTTGTTATGTCCTTGTTCTCATATTTACCCCAAAGTATAAAGAGGTAAAGAGTCATGATGTCTGCAACTTAGTCTCCAAAGGTTCATTGAAACAAAGGAAATTTATACTTTTGGAGAGAGAGAGCAATAAAACAGATGTGGCAAAATGCTAGTAATTGGTGAAACTGTGAAGGGAATATGGGAATAATGCAACATTCCTTTAAGTTACACTTAAAAAATAAACATTTCAGTAAGAGTTTATATGAAATAAATTTTACTAAAGGTTTAAAAATCAACATCAGTCACTGTGAATCTGCAAATAAATCAATTTCAGCCTCTGAATAATTTCTCACCTTTTCTTAATTCAAGTAAGTGGACATCTGCAAGCCAGAGTGAACTGAATCGAGAGAAGCTCCTTCTTGCTTCTGGGAATACCCCATCTC